ATTGTGCAATCATTTAAATACATTTTGATTTTGATTATTTCAGATCACTAGTCTTCTTTTTACCGAAGATAAGACGAAATAAATTAGATCGTAGATATGAAAACCAAAATGGTGTGGCCTTCTGCTTGGTCGCAGTATATTTCAGTCAAGTACCATGAGAACTTAATTTTGAACGGCTTTCAGATCTATGTTTAGAGCAGATATCTATTCTAAATTCAATATCTTCTTAATCATCTTTTTTTAACTTTGTTTCCAAACTTGAGCAAACCTCTTAAGGCCTAGGTTTCAGCAATCAAAAGTATTTTTTAATAATTGAGGGGTTTATCAAGAGTATATATTGAGCCACTATTGTTTTTAAGATAGTAATCCAACTTATGTATTTTATTCACTTGTGGCAGATTAAGCTGTCAGAAATTTGACCTCAGTTCGGCCACAAGTCTAGGTCTATTTAGCTTCCGTTTTTTATATCTACATTTTATATTTCGTTTTATTTCTAGTCCAAGTCATCTTTGGATTATGCTTTTACTTTCTTTGATGAGAGATTAAGTTTTATACTTTGCACATGTCTAGCTACCTGACCATGACAAAAGGCTCTTCCTTATTTTTGTTTACCTAGATTTTACTTTTGTGGGCTGAGTAATGGCTCTATTTCATTGCATTCCTATCATTTAGATTCCGAATCTCATTTCTCATTGCTACTGAAATTTTCCCTTTCTATGACGGCGTTGTAGCTTGGCTGCTTTCTTAAAAATATTTATTTAGCATTGGTTGCGATACGCAAAATCTCAATCTGTCAGTTCTTGGCCAAATATATAGGTACATGTGATGCTTTAAGCTGAAACATCTACTTGCGTGCTTTGGAATTAGAATTGGCTTTATCTCGTCTTCTCAACTTGGTATCCATGTCAGGGTTAATTCGAAAGACATACATCCACTAAATCCTCTGTCTTACTTTGCATAATCTCTTCCAGCATTGGGTCCTTGGTTAAGCGCACCGAGCTTTATCGTGTAAGAGACGAGTAAAGTCTATCCCTTACCCAACTTTATACTTAACGATTATGGTATTTCTCCTGTCCGAGTACATTTGCCTATCTCTTATACTTATATATTAGTATCCCATTCCCTCCCCATCGTATTTTTTTCCTTATTCGTTCTGAGAAATTCCCTTTCGAACCGTCTTAGCTGGACGTAATCAGATTTACTAATAAGATATGAAGAAAGACTGGGTTTCAAAGAATTACTTAGCGAAATATTGTAACATAACTTTCTAATTTCAAGGAAAAGTTGGTTGGAAGGAATTCATGATGTGGTCTCACCGGAACCAGAAGGATTTCCGCATAGGAAATACTGCTGTATTGTGCGAACAGGTCCTCGGCTCAAAGTCCTGAGATCCCAATGAACCTGTGCTAAGCTTAGCACATCACTAATTCCTTCCAACCAATTTTTTCTTCGAAATAGAAAGTCATGTCTCCCTCCTTCATTTACCTGAATTGCTAACCCTACTTGGCTCTTACAAACTGCTAACCTAACTAATTTGAGGTTATTAATCGTGCCATCGACAATCTGTTTCTCTTCTCACTCATTGAGTGATTCCTCTAAGCCATTGTCATCGTAGTACCCTAGGCGTTATTGCCCATGATCTGTCCATAATCTGTGATAGCATGTATGCAGTAACATCGCCGAGTAGGACATATAAGGCATGCTTCGCAAGATTATTGATATTTGAAGCATCATTTCAGCCAGAACCACAATCTCGCACTTACCGTTTTCCTATAAAGTCTAAAGCTTCTGGGTCTAGCTTCCCTGTTTTCCCCTAGTATGTCCCTTTATTTTAGATTCACTACTGTTGGACTGGTCATGTCCTCACTTCTCTTCTTATGCAATGCCTTTAGATCAGACATATTTATGATTAAAATGTTTCAAAAATTTATTCCGATCTTGATTCCATCGCATAAGAAGCACCTCCGTCTATTTTCAGCTTATATACATACTTAAGTTATTGACACAATAACATTTTAACTGAGTGCATCTGAGCTTAATTTCTTCGTATTTTATTTGACTAGATATACATTTTGATGCATCCAAGTACTTTACTTTATTCCGGATAGCTTTGAGTTTGAGGGATTCATTATAAAGCATCAGCATGCAGACTTTGTAGCGTCTGACTTTCAATAATCAAATCAACTCACCCTAGTTATATTCTTATATGTCGTTTGTATTGTCTAGGTTGGGTTATATTTGGCAATTATATGTCGCTATTTATTTTATGTAATTAATGCATTTATAGAAGTTGTTTTCGTAACTTGGTCACATTGGTAGGAAGACTTAGAGGAACGTGCCTAGTCCGGAGTCCATTGTATGCATGATTATTTCCAAAGTTGGACCGTGGACGTGGTACTTTCCCAGACTTTTCGC